GTCAGTTCCTACCCATAGTCACCCTATGCACAAAAGAACAAAACACAAGCTGGTTCTGCACCATCCTTACAATTGTTCCTTTGCTAAGCCCATTGTTGTAGCCATTGTGCAGTCTATCTCCTTGAGGGCCTTCCCCTTTTTTTTCCTGCCCCTCTACCAAACATGATGTCCTCCAGGGACTGGTCTCTCCTGGCAACATATCCAGAGTATGTAAAACGAAGTCTTAACATCCTTGCCTATAAGGTGCACTCTGGCAGTACTTCTTCCAAGACAAATGGTTTGTCCTTTTAGTGGCCCATGGTATTTTCAGTATTATTCTACATCACCACAATGCTACACCTGATACTACAACCAGGCAAAGACATTACCAGAATAGAAGATTACAAGCCAATATCCCTTATGAACATTGATGTACAAATTCTCAATAAAATCCAGCAAAACAGTTGAAAACAATTGTGTTAGCCTGGGTTGACTAGAGAAACAAATCCAGAGAGACAATCGTGTGTATAAGAAAGAGCTTTATATACAAGAGCAATTAGATATTGAAAAAACAGCCCAGCTCAGATCAAGTCCCTAAGTCCAACTTTAAACCATATGTCCAATACTAGTCCATAAATTCCTCTTTAGACTCACACAGCCTTGCAGTAATGCCGAATGCAGGAAATCATATGGGTGGAAAGTCTTGTGGATCCAGTGGTGATTAAAGCATCTCAGTACTGGCAGGGGTTTCCATGTGGCTTCTCCAGCTCTCAAGACTCTGGCTGCCATCAATGTAGCTCCATGTGGCTCATCGTCCGCAATGTCTTCTCAGGGAGTCTGCATGTGTCCTGCCTCCAGCAAGCTATTTATCTCTTTAGTGCCTCCAAATGAGGTCATCAAGCTGCGACCTGATTAACGAGCTCACCTCCACCCCTTCATTCTTAATACTCTCATATTGACTTATGTAATTACCACAATACATTAAAAAAAGAGAAGTGGGATTCATACCAGGTATGCAAGAATAACTCAACATTAGAAATACAATCAATATCATCTACTATGTAAAATAAAGTTAAAACTACATGTTCATATCAGTTGATCCTGGAAAGGCATTTGATGAAATCCAACACCCATTCCTGGTTTGGGAGAGGGGTGGGGCTTTAGCAAAATAGGGAATTCTCAAAGTCATGCATCCAAAACCAATGGTTAACATCTCACTCAATGAAGAGAAACTGAAAACCTTCCCCTTATGAACTAGAATTAAGCCAGGATACCCTCTTAGACACTTATTGTACTAGTACAGTGGTTCTCAACCTTCCTGATGCCATGACCCTTTCATACAGTTCCTCATGTTGGGGTTGACACACACCTCAACCATAAAATTATTTTTGTTGCTACTTCATAACTGTAATTTTGCTACTGTTAGGAGTCGGGCAACCCCTGTGCAAGGGTTATTCGCCCCCCCCCCCAAGGGGTCACAACCCACAGGTTGAGAACAGCTCTACTAGAGTGCTTGGCCAATCTATTAGACAACAAAAAGAAGGCATCCAAGTTAGCAAAGAAGAGATAAAACTATTTGTAAATGATAGCATTCTATATGTAGAAAACCCCAGAGAATAGACAAGGAAATTGTTGGAAATCATTGAAAGTGTTGACAATGTGACAGGGTGTAAGATAAAAAAATCTACCGAATTCCTGTGTACAAATGAAGAGCTCTGAAAGCAATCATGAAAACAATACTTTGTACGATAGTCCCACACAAGATAAAACACTTAGGGAAAACCGAACCCGAGAAATGAAAGACGTACCAAGAAAACTACAAACAGGATTACAAGAAGCTAGCAGAGACTCACGTAAAGGAAGAATGTTTCGTGTTCCTGGATAAGGTCAGTACTACCGAAAGCAATCTATGTAAAGATAATGCAGTTCTAATCTGTATTTCTAAAGAAATAGAAAAACTAAATCGCCAACTTTATATGGAAAAGAGAGAGACCCAGGATAAGGAAAGAATTATATATGGACAAAAGTAAAAGACCTTCTTTTACTTTCAGACCTCAAAACCTCGTACACAGCTGTAGTGGTCTCAACAGCCCAGTACTGGTACAAGGAAAGAGAAACCAATGAAACAATAGAGAACCAGAAATAAGCCCACCCACCGAAAGACAACGAATGTGTTTTACGAAACATTAAATGGGGGAAAGGTAGTCATTTCGACAAATGGTGCTGACAAAATTGAATTTCTATTAGCAGAAGATGAAACAGGACCCATGCCTCACTCTAAAAAAACCAACTCGAGGTGACTTAAAGAACTACATGTAAACCCTAGAACCATAAAGATCAATGAACATATAGAGCCCTAAAACATGTCAAAAACACACAGAAGATAAACTGATGACTGAAACTTCTTAATAAGACACTTATGTGCAGTAATGTGTGTGTGTGTGTGTGTGTGTCAGTGGTATATCAAAGGACTGTTATCATTGAAAGCTATAGAAAACTGCAACACTTCAATGAGAAAAAGGCAAGTAATTAAACTAAAAAATAGGCAGAAGACATGAATAGACAATTCACCTAAGAAAACATCCAGGTAGCCAATAAACATGAAGAAATGCTCGTGATCAGCAGTCATCCAAGCATTACAGGTCAAAAATGCAATGAAATACTACCTCACACTAGCATTGACAGCAAAGTTCAAAGTAAGTGCTAGAGAGGGTGTGGAGAAATCGGAACCCTCATAGACTGCTGATAGGACTTTAAAACCGTAGAACTACCGTAGAACGTAGCATGGCATTTCCTCCAACAGCTGGAAATAGAGATACGTTCAGACCCAGCACTCCCTTTACAAGGTACATATCCTACAACAGGCGTGAGCAATGTCCAGCCTATGGGCTGTCTCTAAGGCCAGCAAAATCATTCCCAGCTAACATCACACACCTCACCAAAGAGAAGCCGTTCCAGCCATCACATTATGGGTGAGTTAATTCAGATTTTGACCAGTATGGCCCACAAATGATGTTACAGATATCCAAATGATCATTGGCAGAAAAAAGATTCCCCACCCTTGCCTTAAAGAGATACAGCACAAGGAGATAAATGCACACCCGTGTTCATTGTAGTACTATTCCCAGTAGTGATAAGATGGAAACGAGCTCAATTCCTAGCAGTTGAACAATGGATAAGTTAAGTTTGGTACATACAGTGGACTATTACACATGGTTACAGAATGATGAGACTGAAGCACCTCATGACATGCATGGATTTAGAGGACATTATGCTGAGGGAAGCGAGTAAATGTTGTATGAGAGCACTGTTAGAAAGAATCAAGACAGACTTTGATGGTTACCAGGGGTGCGAGGGGAAAGAGAAGGCTAGAGGGTATACAGGTGGTAACTAGAGTAAAGGGGAAGGTGATGTTCTATAAGAGCAGTGGTTCTCAGCCCTCCTAATGCCACGACCCTTCAATACAGTTCCTCTTATTTTTGTTGCTACTCCATAACTGTAATTTCGCTACTATTATGAATCGTAATATAAATATCTGATATGCAAGATGTATTTTCATTGTTACAAATTGAACATAATTAAAGCATAGTGATTAATCACATAAACAATATGTAATTATCTGTTGTGAAATATTTATTTCTAATGACAAAGCAATGAAGTTTTGTCTTGAAGCATGGGGTAGCATGGGTAATAGTCTTCACGCTGAGTACTCGTAGGTGGGCGTATCTGAATGTAGGCAGACCCGCCTAGAGGCCCATAGAGGAGTGGTGTCTCGGTTCCTAAGACCATCGAAAATGTGTTTTCTGATGGTCTTAGACGACCCCTGTGCAAGGGTCGTTTGACCCCCAAATGGGGTCACGACACAAGTTGAGAACTGTTGTATAAGAAGGAGAAGATTTTAAAAGGGTAAATATGGCAAGCTATTGGGAGATTTGATGACCTGTCTAAATTGTTGACTATATAAATGATCTGAAATGCAAACCCCCCCACCTCCAAACCAAAACCAAACGCACTGCCATGGAGCTCTGCAGACTCACAGTGATCCCTCAGGACAACTCAGAGGCCCCTATAGAACAGCCCCTGTGAATTTCCGAGACATACTCCTTATAGGAATAGAAAGCTCTTTCTGCCCTGGAGCAGCTGTTGGTTTCAAACAGCTGACCTTGCAGTTAGCAATCCAGCTCGTAACCACTGTGCCACCAGGGCTCCAAACTCCCACCTAATTCACAAATAAAAGTTTAAGAGTGTGTGCGTGTGTCCTGAATTTTTCTTGAGAACGTCATAATAGTTTAGGTTAATTAGAAAGTTCCGCCTTGAGCATTATGCTGTTGAGAATGACCTGGTGGTGTAGTGGATTGCATGTTAGGCTGCTAGGCTATTTACTTCTGTTAAGTGTTACAGTCCCAGAAAGCCACAGGGTTTCCACACTGTCTGGTAGGGTCATGAAGAGTCAGAATTGGCAGTGAGGGGGGGAGATGAGACGAGAGCAACTCAAAAGATTGGATAGGAGGCTTTGGGGGCCATGAGTTAATTACGGAGAATGAACTCAGGAGGAGGGTGAGAATGGCTGTACAACTCCGAGTGTAATCGGTGCCACTAAACATACAGGTAAAACTTGACTTGGTGTATGTATGTTTCACTGTGTATTCTCACCAACAAAATAAAATTTAAGGAAGTGAAAACATGTGAAGTCCCACTGCGCCCCTTTGAGTTTGCTGTGTTAACCCAGGGCATGTCCACCCTCGTTTGGGAACCACAAAAGGGGGCTGGCCTGTGAGGTCCTGAGATAGCCATAGCCTGGAGTTTGTTTTTGGCTAAAATTGACTATGTACTCTGGTGGGTTGGTTTAATTTCTTTTACCTGTGCCTCAGTTTCCACATCACAAGGCTTCAGTTTTTTTTTAAGGCTTCAATATTAATGACACCAAACAATGGCATGCATAGGGCTCTGTGACTAAGGAAATGTGGTTGATGCCCCACATTTTGTGAAATTTGGGGAATATAGAGATGACTGTTTTTCAGATTGGCTCGACATCGGAAAATAGTGGAGCCTGAAGTGGTAGGAGAAAGTGACTCGGAAGTAGAAGGAGATGCTTGGCGAGTGGATCGAGAAGACAGCAGTGAAGAAGAGGAGGAAGAAATTGATGATGAGGTAGGTTCAGAGGAAAAGAGGCAGTTCTTTCTGAATACAAGAAAAGTCGTGGCCATGTACATCTTTCAAGGCCTTAAAAACATGAGTTCGAGGATCATTGTTGGGAAGAGATTGAAAAACGGTGATGGCTTGAATTTACTCAGATCAGAATTCATTGGGTGTGAATAGAGAAAAATAAAAGGCCACTTTGAGGGCCTAGGCCCTTTGACTAACTGGCTAAGACTTGTTACTTGATAGGAAATAGAACGGCGCCGAGGGATGATGCGTCAACGAGCACAGGAGAGGAAAAATGAAGAGATGGAAGTCATGGAGGTGGAGGACGAGGGACGCTCTGGGGAGGAGTCCGAATCAGAGTCCGAGTATGAGGAGTACACAGACAGTGAAGATGAGATGGAGCCCCGCCTTAAGCCAGTCTTCATCCGAAAGTAAGTATCTTTTAAGGCAAACCTGAACCTGCAGGATAGCTACTACTTTACAGGCTTGAAGAAGGAAGCTTCTTTACGCTGTCCCGTGCTCTTCTGAAGTTTGAGCACTGAGAGAGCCCTCCCCCCAGTGCCCCAGCCCAGGGGTATCCGCTGAGCAATGCCTTGGTGTTAGTGGAGCGCCTAGGTTTGTTTCCACACCTCCCTTCCCAGTTACAGAGCACCTATCTGCCCCCTGTCTAAGACAGATAGTACATTATTTTAGGCACAAAATTAAACTGAAGAGCAAGTTCGTGTTTCCCTCCCAGCGGCTAGAGTTCTGCTACTATAATCCAGTAGCTCCTTGAGGCCATCCAGGCGCTTCTCTAAGATGAATAATTGTGTTCTTCCAAAGACCTGAGATGACTCCCATCTCTCCTCCCCATCAACCCTTGCCTCTTTGAAAGTTTAACAGAGCCAGAGATTGTTTGTTGGTTTCTGAACTGGATGAGACTTGATCAAGGAAAACAAGGAGCTCTCTTCTTCAGGGCTTTTGGTCACTAACATGACCTCTGTGCTGTAGGAAGGATCGAGTGACTGTTCAGGAGCGTGAGGCTGAAGCATTGAAACAGAAGGAGCTGGAGCAGGAGGCAAAGCGCATGGCTGAGGAGAGACGCAAGTACACGCTCAAGGTATTCAGGAGTGGCTTTGAGAAGGACTGGGGACGGCGGGTGATGTGATGAATGTAGCCTGAGGAGAATAAGGGCGTCTACTAAGTGGATTATTCTGCTTGTGCAGATAGTAGAAGAAGAGACTAAGAAGGAGCTGGAAGAGAATAAGCGGTCCCTGGCTGCCCTGGACGCACTCAATACTGATGATGAAAACGATGAGGAGGAATATGAGGCATGGAAAGTTCGGGAGTTAAAGAGGATTAAGAGGGACAGAGAGGATCGTGAAGCGTGAGTATTAGCTGAACCTAAAGTTAAGGCTGTTCATCAGGAAGGCTCCTAATAGTTCAGGTCTCAAACTCAACAGCCACTCTGCATGTCAGTCTCACTTTCTTTGTCTAGGGCCCTGGGCTGGGTAAGGATGGCTTAAACCAGAGGTTCTCCGCCTTCCTCATGTCGCGACCCTTTCATACAGTTCCTCAAGTTGTGTCGACAACCCCAACCATAAAATGATTTTTTTTTCCCGTAAAATGATTTTCATTGCTACTTCAGAACTGTAATTTCACTACTGTTATGAATCGGGTGACCCCTGTGAAAGGGTCATTCAACCCCCCAAATGACCCACAGGTTGAGAACCGCTGGCTTAAACCGTTTAAACTCACCTACTAGCTTAAACGTGGACAGTTCGAATTCACCTAGTTCTGCAGAAGAAAAGCCGAGCAACTAGAGTCTGCGAAGACCACCACCATGAAAGCCCTATGGAGCAGTTCTGCTCTAACGGGGTTGCCATGAGCAGGAGGCTTTGTTTGCTTGTTTGTAGACTAGATGAGTTTCCCGTAACTAGAGTATTTCTCGTAACTGTGAAATCAAGTAAAAGTAACACTCTGCCCCAGTCTCTCTATGGTAAGAGTCCCAGCTAATATTCCCTCTAATTTCCTGTCAGACACAAAATTTACAGTACTCAATCCTCACTTATTGACATGGTTAGCTACCAAAGACCAGGAAGTTAAGGCAGAAATCTGTGTTGTGTGAATAGAGGATGACCACATGAGATCAAAGGAAAGGATGATTACATCATTATACAACTGCCAGATTTCATTATTATGTAACTATCACACCATGGGTCCACATGGTCCAGCCAAGTTGACTTATAACCTTAACTATCACAGCCAGTGTTTCTCTAGCCTCAAACCTTGGCATTCATTATTGCCAAAGATAGATCATTCGTGTATAAAATAACTGGCTAGGTTTATTTTTTCTGTTGTAAATGTGAAATATCAGACAAGGAGATCGTGAGTAGTAATGGGTACAGCTGAGTGGTGATTGTTGTATAACACCCCTATTATTTCTCACAATTTAAGAAGCTGACTGAGCATTCTCTGCACCTTTCATCTGGGCTTTTTCAATTGCCTCCAGCTGGAGGGTTGACTGAGCTAGAAGGTTCAAAATGGCCTCCTTTACATGTCTGAGTTGTTGCTGGGGCCCAGCTAGGAGGCCTCACTTCCTTACAGTGCTGGACTTCCTTTCAGAGCACTCTCAAGGCAGCATTCTAAGAGAACCAAAGTGGAAACTTGCTGGAGCCTAGATTCCAGAACTCACACATCGTTTCTTTCTATTGGTCAAAGTAAGTCACAAGGCCAACTTGGGCTCAAGGGGGAAGAAGATTAAACTTTACCTCTGAAAAGAAGCCACACAGTTAAATTGCAAAAAGGTATGCATTGTTACGGCAGGAAGCATTTGTGACCCTTAGGTGTAACGTATTACATGCACTGTGTTAGAGTAGAATTGTTTCTGTGCTCCATCATCCATTTCTGCAAATGGCTGGAATGAGAGCATAATGCTATCAGCAGGTAACTCTGCCCTTAGCTTGCATTTCTAGGGTTCCTTACTCATTCTAGGCCTTAAGAAATCTGTGCACTCTGGAAAGTTATATGCCAAAGTCTGGGTGTATTCATTTTGCTGGAGAAAAAGCTGTGAGCAAAAAGAAATTAAAGACTAGAAAATTACTGCATCTAATTAATGATGCTAATCCTTGGTTTATGACATGTAAGCATATTTATAGTTTCTAACAATACCAGCGGTCTCACTAATTACTATAAATTCCCTTTGATTTTTTTGTTGTTGTTAAGCCAAAAGAGATTTTTATATAAGAAGAATTGTTAATGTTGCAAAAGTGAAGTGTAATTTTGTGCTTCAACCCCCCCAAAAGCTAAAAACAATTTTCAAAAGTTTGCAGTATCTAGTCTTGGAAACATATGTCTGTCTGCCTTACCATTTTAATTGTAGAGCTCCTAATGTTGATTCCTAACAGGCAGTAAGATGGGATTGTGTTATTTTCAGATCATTGGGTCTTTTTGAAGCTGGAACACTACTAATAAATAATTGTACTCCCTGGACAGGCTCGAGAAAGAAAAAGCAGAAATTGAACGCATGCGGAACCTGACTGAAGAAGAGAGGAGAGCTGAGCTGCGGGCAAACGGCAAAGTCATCACCAACAAAGCTGTCAAGGGCAAATACAAGTTCCTCCAGAAATATTATCACAGGGGTGCCTTCTTCATGGTGAGACAGGATTTGGGAAGCAGAGTGGTGGGGAAGGAAGCTCAGAACAACCTTGTTGTTTTCCCTTCTAGGATAAAAACTGAGCCTGGGATGTTCTTTCTTCTTGCCAGTGGTTACTGCATTTGCTTTTTTGCTTTGAGAACTCTAAACCCAGTAGAGGAAACCGCTGGCAACCGGGTGATAGCAGCAGCAGTATCTGTTTTGATCCCAGCTCCCAGAAGGAAATGATGTCATAGAAGGAGTAAGGAACTGAAATGGAGAGAGAGAGTAATCATATTCCAGACAAATTAGGTCTTGAAATCACTGGGATATCATTATTTCATAATCGAATCAGATGTTTACTTACGGTAAACCCAGCTCCGCAAATAAAGTGATGTGGACTTGGATTAGCACCAGTACTATCTCAATACAGGGAATATACAAAGGAATGGGAAATTTTATTGTTTGTATTACTAGTCTCGTAGTATGTGGTTTGTGCAATTGTTTTCTATTATTAAAGGGGTCTGTATCAATACCTAGACTAGCTTTTTCAAGTACTTCATATTAAACCAGAAATATTCCCTCTGTAACTAAATTCCCCTCTGCACTGCAGTACTGGTGAAACTCAAATTTTAATGGGGACTTCCTTATACCCTTCCAAAAGCAATTTCAGTCTGTCGGATCAACAGAAACATTTATGATACCTTTCAGCCGGGCGGTTTTCTTGATTGAAGCCAGTGGAGATTATGAACTCTTTTTACACTGCTTCAGCAGCCATGAAGTATTTTTACTGAAGTATTTCAGCAGCCTTAATTAGCAAGCTTTTTCAGAGCAGCAGTGCATTGCTGGCTAAAATACATAATAAAAGGTTTATTTGGGCACAGGTCCTCAAATATTGGTGTTTTGCATCTGGACAAGTAGAGCCTAAAAAGTGAAGTTGAAATAGGATCTGTAAATTAAAGGAGGAGTTTCAGGCCCTAACCAGATGAAAAGTAGATCTCATAGGAATTAAATTTCTTGCCTTTAAATTGGATTTTGGTACTTGACGGAAAAGAATATTACCAAAGCACATTGTACCAAGAACTCAGCAGTTCCGTAAAGCCTTCCTTCACATGACAGTGAAATTTTTGATTTCTTAAATATATTTGCGTATGATCTGTATCATAATAATGTGCTCTTGCTAATGTGTTTATTTGAAACTAGTCTCGGTGGTCATTTTAGAGTTCATTGGGTAAATAATCTTTGGAGCATTTACTGTCTTAAGGATCAGGTTAACACCACTAGAAAAGACATAGTCCATGCCATCAGAAGATTTACAGTCTTGAAATGGGGCTAAGGCAAATACACAGTATAAGGAGGAGTGTAAAAAACTGCAAATTCTTAAGAGGGAAATGGTGTAGTTGGTAAAGGAGTGGAAAGGAGGTAAGACAACATTCAGTGGTAAGAAGGAACAAGATATCGATGAGTAGGCCAACAAGAACCGAGGCAGAAAGTATCAGCTGTAACTGGAAACACGGAATCCAGGACAGATAAACCCCTCATGATCAATATTGAGAGTAGCCATACCAGGAAGGGAATGGGAAGACGGGGGAACCGATCACAATGATCTACATATAACCCCTCACGGGGGGACAGACAACAGAAAGTGGGTGAAGAGAGACATCAGTCAGGGTAAGACATGAAAAAAAAAATTTATAAACTATTAAGGGTTCATGGGTGGGGGAGAAGGGTGGGGATGAGCTGATACCAAGGCTCAAGTAGAAAGCAAATGTTTTGAGAATGGTGAGGGCAACAAATGTGCTTGACACAATGGATGGATGTATGGATTGTGATGAGTTGTACGAGCCTCCAATAAAATGATTTTTTTTTAAGTATCAGCTGTAAGAGGAACTTTCAAGGAAAGATAAAAAGGCAAATTGGCCTTGATAGCTAGTGAGGAGTTGTGCTAATTTAAGAGAACGAGTGGAAGGCTTTTTTAGCAAGACATACGTAATGTGTTGTTTTAGAAATAAATCCAGCAAGTGTAAGACTGATTCCAGAAGAAAAAGGACCCAGGGATAAGAGTTTACAAAATGTGGCACCTTTGTGTGCATAGAATGCTCAATTTTCAATGAGAAACTGTTGTTCCTATGAATAAAAATTTAAATCAGAAGAGACTAATTTGGAAAGGGATTTGAGAGGCCCTGAAGTGCACAGTTAAGCACTGAACTGCAAATGAGAAGGTGGGCAGTGGGAACCTACTAGCTGGTTTGTGGAAGAAAGATGAGGCCGTCGGCATGTGTAAAGCCTTAGAAACCCAGTGGGGAGTTCTGCTCTGTCCTTACAGAGTTGGAATTGACTCCATAGCAGTGGGTTGAGTTAGGTAGTCACACGAGTGAATGGAGATAGTATAGCAGCCGTCCAGATATGTCAGTGCTTAGGAAGATGAAACAAAGAAAGAGCATTATCTCCTGAACTAGACTTGAAAGAGTACGTTCAATAGCCTTGGCTTTCTTTGTATCCCATGTGGTAAAGTTTAATAAACTTTTAGTTGCGAATATGGAAAGTAAAACCAGAAAACTGATGATTATCTTCTACAGGATGAGGATGAAGAAGTATACAAGAGGGATTTCAGTGCACCTACTCTAGAAGATCATTTCAATAAAACCATTCTTCCCAAAGTCATGCAGGTATGTGGGGCCTTAATAACAGGAAAGGGCTGGGGCCTGGTGCATTTAGTGGTGTATTCATCACCCTTCCTCTCCTCAGGTTAAGAACTTTGGACGCTCAGGCCGTACCAAATACACCCACCTTGTGGATCAAGACACCACCTCCTTCGACTCAGCTTGGGGTCAAGAGAGTGCCCAGAACACAAAGTTCTTTAAACAAAAAGCAGCTGGAGTCCGAGATGTATTTGAGCGGCCATCTGCCAAGAAGCGGAAAACTACCTAAAGTCCAGCTGTTTAGTCTACCAATTGGAGGACACACGGGGAAATCACAGCACTTGGGCCTTGGGTTGATGGTATTTATATGGTATCCAAACTATCGCCATATGTGGGACACTGAGCAGCCCACCATTGAAGGTGCTTTGTGAGGTTTGGACTCATGTAGAGAAACCTACAGAAAAGCAATGTCCAGGTAGGATTAAATACCACCCACGGAAAACTTGTGGGAAAATTTAGATTTCCTCACTGCTGAGACTTCCCATAATCACATGAGATTGTTCGTTTGTTTTTGTTTTTCCAGAACCTGAACTTGAGTCAGAAATATGGGTACATAAATGGACAATTACTACTTCTGCCTTAGGGCTAGAGTTAACATACCAGGAAATTTAAGCTCAGTGGAAACCTGTTTAGCATTTCATGGTTGGAATAAATTTTTATAGATGAAACATGTTTTTTTGACCCGTTTATGTTAAGGAATAAAAGAATCACACACAGAAATGCTTAGCGTGATACGGGAAATAAAATGTATAGGCTGACAAGTGTCTGCCTACTAACTAAAATAATAAACATCAGGAAATTTTTATGCAGCAGTTCACATTTTGATCATCTTTGAACTCATAAGCAGAACTCCTATGAGTTTCTGAAACAGTATCTTTTCTTTTTTTCTTTTATGGACCAGTCATGATAAATAGGGAACATCAAGATAAATGCAGAAAACATTGAAGTTGTCAAGGATTTTATTTCACTTGGATCCACAATGAATACCCATGGAAGCAGCAGTCAAATCAAATGACAACGTATTCCATTGATCAAATCTTAGATCATATTTGATATTTAAGACCTCCTTAAGGTATTAATTAACCTCCCTGGCAGTCTAATTATGTCAGTAATTTTGTACCCAAAGAGGTACATTGTTTTGCATAAAATTTATTGTTTTATATTGTAGGCCTGTAATTCTTAAGAAATTACTCATTTTAATCTCTCTAGTAGACATTCCAGGTATGATTAAACTGTAATACACAAAATCACAAATTGTAATATAATAATTATAAAAATAATAAAAATTTTTCAATAATGTAATCAGTGTTTTTTAACACTGCATTTTTTTTAAAGGGTGCAACATCAAGGGTGCATTCAAAAAAAATGCTGGGTGTGAAAATTTTGAAACATGAGACTGCACAAAGTCCGACGGCACAATCAGGACAATGGAACCTGGTTTCCTCTCATATTCTCTTTCCACTTCCATCTCGCTTTGAGCAACAAACCACACACATCCTTGTAGATGCTGACTTTTTTCGGTTGGTGGGATATAGTCCATGAAGTGTAGACCGACCAGTCAGGCGTTTTGGGTTGACGTCAACAGCGCGACGTCCAGGTCTGTTCACAGCCATTGATGGTGTGGTGGTTCACAAAGATTCGTTCAGCAACTTTCCAAATGAAGTCAGAATGAACCAAAGGCTTGTCACTCTGCTCTGTGCAAAATGTAGGCATTTCACAAGCATTGCGCGAAAAGATACCTGAAGATCTTCTTGTAGTGTTTCTTTTGCTGTTTCCACATTGCTGGGTAGAATGTAAGTGCTTGGTCGGCTCTGTCGACACCTCCCCCGGTTTTATTGTAGTCTGTCACTACTTGTGGTTTCATGACTTCTTGCCCACCTTTCGTGCGTACCGTAACAGTTGAGGTAGTATGAACTGTACTCATTAGGCACACATCTTTCTTGTCACGCCATCACAGTGCCACCATCTTGCCTTTCTGCCAAGCAACCATTTCTCCAGTTTTTAGCTGCTGCCAAACATTGCTGGCATGTCACACCGGTTAGCCCTGACAGTTCCATAGGCGTCAATTTTGTTTTTCATAAGAAACTCATAAAGTTCAGGGGATGTATAAAAGTTGACAGTTGTAACGCAATAGCCCTGATTTAGCAATGGCTCAATGGGTGTTAGAACAGAAGTCGTTGCCATTCTATAGTCGCTGTACTTTGGATTGAATTTGGTGCCTATTCCAGTGTATATGACCGAATTCCAAATGTAGCTAGTTGATGATTCGCAGAGCCTATAGGATTTTATGCCAAACCGTGCTTTCTTTGATGCACTGTATTGTATGCAGCTGAGCCGTGCCTTATAGGCCATTAGACTTTCATCTATGCCGATGTCTCTTTCTGGCACATAGGTCTGCTGGAAATTCTTTACAGTCATTTGAGATACTTCCCAAATTTTCTTTAGTTTTGGTCCAGGATGAGTAGTTTCATCAAATTCTTCATTGTGAAGTGAAAAAATTCATAATCAGGGAAAATCTGTATTCTGACATGATGGTGCCAAAAATTTGGAGTTGCAAGTAATTTATTGGTGGTCCAATACCATCTCCGCAGGGGTTTCCCACCACTCCCTGAAGTACGATGAGGCCCAGACATTTCCAGACGTCATCTTTTGTCACTGGTTCCCCTTTCTGCTTTGTGAAAACTTGTGAAGCAGAGTAGCGGACTGTTGCTCTTTGTACCCTTTTGTCTCCGTAACAGTTTTTTCAGTGACCTCATTGGTCAGAAACAATTGTAGGTTCGCCAAAGGGGTGTTGTGGTCAACGTCTCCTTTCACACTGGGTGCTCCAGTTAACGGGAATCGTGCGGGAGCTGCCTGATCTGAACCGCAGACAACAGAGCACCAAGTTCGCACATCGCTGAGCTCGTGCGGAATCCTCACTCTTGTCACTTACCTGACCAGTGTCAATGTCGGATGATGAATTTCCCCATGAACCGCTATCATTCAATTCTGCCAGTAATTCTAAGTCACTGTTGCTATCATTTATCTTGTCTAAAACGCCTTTTGTGCTCAAGTAACACTTTTTTGATGCCATGGGCAAAAAATTTTCCAAATGACAGTAAAAGGGCAGGCAGGGCGCCAGAGACTGATTTCGGGACACATCTAAGGTGATTTGCTTTGATAGAATGTAATCATCGCAGGTTACACTATCGCTGTTTGTGTGTGTGTCTCTGAATTTCCCACCCAGTTCCACCCCTGTGCAGCTACACTGAACACAGAACGGAATGGAAAGGAACGAGGAAGTCAGATTGCAGTGTAATCTCTGCAGTGTAATCCCGAGTGTGGCTTGGGGTTACCGTTTCTGACAGTTAACATTTTCCCAGCCACACTCGGGATTACCACCAAGGAGGCATGTTAACTTCCCTGTTCAAAATTCCAATAGGTTTTTCTTGTTTTACTCAGAGTAAGAGTCCTGACAGTAGCATCAGTACATTATCTACCTTACTACACCTCAGTCCTGAGAGTTCATCACTCATTCACTTCACTGTTCCTTGTGGTTAGATTACTGTTCCTAGACTATGCCCATAACAGGCATTCTGCCAGAGGCCCTTTACACTTGTTTTCCCCTGCCTGCACATTACCCCAGATATTAAGATGGAGCATATCTTCCAGATAGTTTCTCAAAGGCAACCTCATGACAGCCTTCCAGGATCACCTTATTTTAAATTACACCTCAACCCTTTTTTCCATTGCTATTTTAACTTCCTTCTTACCAGTTTTTCAAAGTAAATTTTTAGCTTCCTTCTTACCACTCTTTCAAAGTAAGTTTTTTATTAAATATTTTTATTGGGGACTGTGTTAGACAGGGTTCTCTAGAGAGATAAAACC